TTTGTGTTCAGATATTGTTAAGGTCAAAAGGCCTTATTTGCATCTCATACATATTATTATTTGCCATTGATGTAAAAAACTAATTACAAATTAATCTTTTTTTATGAAAATATATATTATAAGATTTCATGATTAGTCAAAGTCTCTCTTTTTTTTTTTAAAAAAAAAAAAGGAAGAAAAATTAGGCAACAATCATTTCTTGTATCTTTATCCATTTTACATTTTACATTACTTAAATTTAAAATCTTTTATTTCATAGAAAGACAAAGAGACAGTTTAGTATAATAATTTAAAACTAATGATTAATAGTTTTATCTAATTTAACAATTAATAATTGTTATTATTAATAATTCAAAATTTTTTGTTCATTAAAGTAAATGAAATAGTTAACTATTAATTTTAAACTGCTATATCAAATAGTTCAAAATTATTAAATATTACTACTAAATTACTTAATTAGAATATATTTGATTTGAAAAAAACAAAATTACAAAACATTTTCATCTAATCAAATTAAAATGAATTTTCTCTACCTCAATTTCCCTTAAACAAAACATACTCCTTAGGTTGTTAGCTCATTGATCAAAGTTATGAATAGCTAACCATAACAATAAAATATATTAGATCACGTGACTTATCCAATATGAAGAAAAAGTAGATAAAGAAAGAACATAAAACTTACTTATGAGTAAACTAATATTTGCATTGTCACCCTTTCAAACCAATTCTACCAAGCTAAGTGTTAACAACCTTTTAGGCTTAGAGAAGACCTTAAAACAACACCTTAAGGAACCACCAAAACCAACTCACCTTTCTAGAGATGTCGTGCTAAAGGGGATATAAGGGAAAGGAACAAGCAAGAGAGAAAGCCCTTGGAGATGAACTGCTCCTTAAATTAGAATACTTGATTTTTTTAATTTTGAATTAATGTGGTCGATAGATGTAATTGAATTTGAATGAATCAGCCATTTTTTTTCTTCTGAAGACTTCCGTCAGATGTTCTAGTTTGTACGAATTTAGAATAGAAAATTAATAATGTGTGATGCAAACTCTGAAATTTCGAAATCATGGAAATAAATCATTTGTACCTAGTCAATAGTATTATATTTACAAGATAGATGTGTTACCAAAACCTAAATTCCCAATTGTCTTTTTCACTGTATAGATCAAATGTGTGGTGGGTAAAATAAAATAATGATTTTAATAAGTTGCCAGTCATTTGTCTATTCTAAATAACAAAAAAAATAAAAAGTTGTAATCATATAAATTTTAGTTTTAGATTTTAATTGTTTTTCCGTGTGGTATGGTGGCTGTATATATATACATATATTAATCTTTTTACTATTATATAAATATATAAAATATTAATTAAAATTGATTAATTATAATCAATTTAGATTTTTAAATAAAGTATTATATGAAAAAATCTTAAATATCAACACTCTAAAATGAAGTTTTATTGCTAAATTTGTTAGTAAAATGGGTGAGGATGAGTCCGAGAACTAGATGCAACAACGAAAAGTTAAAATTTAGGGCCAAGCACCCAAAGAGTTAATTTATTTCAATGAATTAGGCTGCTGTGGAGTACATTCTTAAAACTCTTAGACAATAATTAGTTTTAAAATATGTAAAAGATGCCTGAACACCCTTACCATCCAAACCAAAATAAAAACAAAAATTCACTCGGAATGTCTTTTATTTTCAGATAAAAAAATATTACACAGTTCAAATTACATAGTTTAAAACATTAAATAAGTAGTAAACCCTTGATATTAAAAATTATTTATATTTAATAATTCATATTTTACAATTTAGTATTCAAACTTCAAACTATAAATCTGGAAACTCCTATTTTTCATAAAAATGGAAAGGCATTCCTTTGGTTCAATACAACAAGGCCTATTAAATTGGACTGAACTACTGGGCCTTGCTGCATGCGATGAACAGAAGCCCTGGCCCTAGCAGTCTGTGTATGCTGCACTTTTTCTATCTAGCCTCCATATTCATTGATTTCATTCTATTAGCATGCCTTTTTGGTACAATGCCAAATTAATTTTCCTAAATTGCTTCTCCATCTCTAACCTACACTTTTATCTTACTTGACATCTACCAGGCTGCACTTCGATCATTCCGACTTTCAAATGCCATCTGAAGTAAATGGGCTGGCAACAATTCCACGCAGTTGAGAAAGTTTCTAATGACCTTGTGATTAAAAATCATCCAACGTTGTCCACCACTAGTTTCTTAGCCTTCTATCCAGATTGCTTCCAATTAAACCAAATACCAAGAAAGTTGTGTCTAGCAAGAGAATTTAATATAAGATAAATTAGAAATCCAACCTATTTTATGTGTAGAATAAGATATTTAATTAACAAAAAAGTGATATTTTACTTAACTATTGTTGGATTGTAACTCACTTTTCTATCAATGGCTAATTATTTTGTATTTTGTACTTGTTCACGCAAGTAAGACACAAACATGTATTAAGTTTACCATAAGAAATATAATTAAATTACTTATGTTGTCGAATTTAGGGATTTATTTAATTTAATAAAAGATGAGTAGTTAAATGCAAAATTTATGATAACTTTAGGGGTGTAATGTAGGGTTTTGCCTAGCAATTACTAAACTTCTCTTTAAAAGGTGGGTTAAAGCCAACTATAGTTCCTCTGCTTTCAATTTCAATTTCCATTCATTATCCTCTCCATACTTTGAAATCACTCAGAGGTCCCCCTCTACTCTTCCAAAACATACTACTATCCACCTTCTACTTTAAGTTCTCATACTACTTACTTCCCTCACCTAACACCTAGTTAACACCATTACTAACGGTCATCTAACAAATTTTTTCACTATTAAACCTCAACCCATTCATTAATTTTTTTTTGTTGAATTTTAATTAGTGGTCCCCACTAATTCCATGTTAGCAACCCAAATCTGCCTAGCTTACCCTTTAACCTTTGTCAAAATCCCTAAATCCCTAAATCAAGTCCACCAATTTGAGATTCCATACAACCTATCTAAATTTCTCAATTAAATTTCTTAGTAATAAATCTGAAGTGGACTCTAGTGTTTGAATCATTGTCGTTATCGAACAATTTTAGATGAGTGCAACGCTGTTGATGAGCTAATTCCACTCTAACAAGATTACAAATTACTTCAACTAATATAATGATAAAAATAAGTTTTGTTTTACAAGATGGTAGACTAATTAAGTACCAAAATTAAGTAATTTTAATTTTATTTAAACAATTGAAATTAAATGATTCGAATGAACTAATTAACTAAACTAATTAAAGAAACTAAATTGGCTTTAAATTACACCAAGAGTTTAAATTCTAAAGCATCCAAATTCACTATAGTTAACAAACATAGAATTTAGATTAATATATTTTCAAGATCTTTATTATTCATACGACATTGAGATTTCCTATTTTATTCAATATACTTTATTAAATCATATCAAATATATCTTCACCTATTAATCCACTATATCCTTATGTGAATTTAAATAGATAAAAATGCATTATATTTTATGAAATTTCTTAGTTTACGTAAAAAATCAAGTTCATTTATCACTAGTATTGCACGAATTATTGTTCCATTTCTAGTTTTCGTTCAATTCATAATATATACTACTAGAAGCTAGTCTCAATTATGCTCTGCAAATTAGTTTTAACGGTGGACAATCATTAAAAAGCATTAAGAACAGTAATATATATTTTACATGAAATAATAAGATTTAAAAGTATAAAAATCATGAAATTTTATATTAAATTGATCAGGTTACCTCACAGCCTTAGATAGCTAAATTATTTCATAATTAAAGAAAAGAAATTAAATATTTTATGATTAATATAAGAGTATTTGACATTATAAAACAAAATTCAAGGATAAGTAAAACTAGTTTGATGATATAAAAATTTCAAGTTTGATCTTCTTTTGATATTGTGTTCCTCTTAGCCATCTCTCTCTTGGTCTCCCCCAAAATGCTCCCAAGTCTATTTTTGAATGAACATTTATAGAATTTAAGAAATTTTATTAGAAAGAAGTAGGACCAATGACAAAAGTGAAAATTCTTAAAGTTAAAAAGGCATTTAGTGTTGTTACTAAAATATAAGTGTTGGCACTTATGTTTATTTTATGCAGAATTTGCCCTTTAAAGACATAATGTATAGCATTGATACCACAAATTAGGTGTCAACACCAAACCCATAGGACTAAGGTGGGTTATTGATATAGAATTAGTGGGGTTCACTAATTAAAATTCAACAAAAAAAGAAATTAATAGACGGGCTAAGGTTTAATGGTGAAAAATTTTGTTAGATGACAGTTAGTAATGGTGTTAGTTGGATGTTAGGCAAGGGAGGTAAATAGTATGAAAACTTAAAGTAGAGAAACGATAGTAATATGTTTTGAAAGAATAGAGGGAGGCCTTTGAATAATATCAAAGTATGGGGAGAAAAATGAATGAAAATTGAAAGTTGAAGGACTATAGTTGGCTTTAACCCTTAAAAGGAAGATAATTGCGTATGGGATTCGCAACTGCTGAGCTGGCACTGTCGTGGAAGGAAAATGCAACACGAATCATTCTTTCGTATAAATAAAAAATTATGGAAAAAGATTCTCCTGTAACAGGCGGACATGACATGACTGCCAAGTTCTCGCCTTGGGGCCCCGATGGTGGGTTGTCCTACATCGGTTTTGGTTTTCACCTGGGGCCCCGATGGTGGGTTGTCCCACATTGGTTTTGGTTTTGGTTTTCACCTGGGGCCCCGATAGTGGGTTCCTTGTTGTCACGCATTGGTTTTGGTTTTCAGTGTATGAATTTGTTTAAATTTATAGCATTTTACACAACTTTACATTGACCCGTTCTAAAATTATAGCGTCTCCCGTCTCTTTTAAAGAAAAAAAAAATGTTTTCCCAGTAACGTGGAATGATAATGAAATATTCGCCTTTTTTTTATAAGCAAATACAGCTCTAAATCTAAGAGCCTGTTGGATGCAACATGTGAGAAAAGATTTTTTTTTGCTTTGAAAGTACAAATTGCAAAACTTGTGAGAAAAGATATTTTTTTTTGCTTTGAAAGTACAAATTGCATCTAACGTTACATAGTGCTCAGCAAAATCGTCCGACGAGCGTAACTGAATTTCCGCTTCTCATCTCCACAGTTCCGTCGGTTGCCATGAATAGATTTCTCTCCCGCAGCCAATTGAGAACGCGCGCCACTCAAAATGCTGCAGCTTGGTTTAGTCCTTTCAGTATCTCGAGGTCTGTTGCGGTGCTTTAATGGCGATTATCCATAAAACGCGCCTATTCTCGATTCGTAGTTTTGTCTTGTTGATCTTGAGAAAATTTGGCTGGAAAAATTGCCGATTATCATTACAATTGTTGATTTTTTGTTTCCCATATACAGGTCTGTCCATTCTTTACCTTTTGCGACTGTCGATGCAGAAGAGATATCGGGTTCACAACCTGCTGAAGTGCTCAATTTCGGTATGTACTCCCATACCCCCAGTTTTTGTTGTTCGTTGGGAAAAAAATGATCATCTGATCTTGCTGCCTTAGCTGGAAAATCATGGTTCAAAATTCATATCTGGAAAACAAAAGAATTTTTGTAGTCGGATTCCAGTAAGTTGAAGTTGTTTTGGTCATTTGCCTTTTTCATCATTCATGATTGAAATCTGGGGAGTGATGCCTGAAACTTTGATTGTGTAGACTGGGATTACTTGTAGGATTGTAGCAATTCACTGCAAATTAAACTAAACCTAGAATTTCAGTACCCCTGCAATGATTAACGTTTATTGCAGTGCTTAATTTGGTGGGGAACTATTTTCTATCATGTCACATGAACACATGAATAAGCAATTATCTGAACATGGTACTTCTCTATTTTCAGTGCAAGGTAAATGGAAGGGAGCTTCAACATGGAACACCCTTGTGGATCCTTTGAATGGAGAACCATTCATTAAAGTTGCAGAAGTAGATGAAATTGAAATTCAGGTATGGCCTTTTGGAAAAAGTGTGGGAGATTGTATTGATTTCATTTTTCAAACCACTATTCGCTTTTTGAAAATATGAGTGTGCAACAGCTTGCCTAGTTCTTTCAAATAATTACATGGCCACTTCCATATCTATGCAGAATCGTTTTATTCATGTTTTTAAATGCATTCTTCAATGTTTTATGAGTTGCCCTCAAACTGATCAAATGATTGGTGCAGCCTTTTGTGGAGAGCTTGTCAAAGTGCCCCAAACATGGTTTACACAATCCATTCAAAGCACCAGAGAGGTTTAACTCTTGCTCCATATCACTGCTTCCTGATTTATTATTCTGGTTTTATTTTTTCGCTACTAGATAGTCAAAGTCAATGTAGAGAAAAGTTGTTGATTCTATTGTTGGATGTTCTCTTGTATTTTTCTACAGGTATCTTTTATATGGAGATATTTCTGCAAAGGCAGCACACATGCTTTCCCTGCCAAAGGTAACTTAATCTAAGTAAAAGAGTGATAAATTTCCATCTTTATTGATTCTTGAATTAAAGAGAACATTGCCTCCTCCAATATTGCTTATCTGTAAATGTAACTCACTATAAGCTCTTTTCTTATATGGCTTTCAGGTATCTGATTTCTTCAGTCGGTTAATACAAAGGGTTGCTCCAAAGAGTTATCAGCAGGCCTTTGGTGAAGTTTATGTTACACAGAAGTTTCTAGAGAATTTCTCTGGTGACCAGGTATGTCAGATCAACCTAGTTGGTCCTTTTTGGTTCCACTAGAAAAGTTGCTTATCAATACAGAGAAGAAGAGTTTTTCTTGTTCTTTTTATGGGTTTGTGGCTCCCGGGGGAAGGAGAGCAGGGGAACCTGTAGAGATGGCAATGTATTATAGTCTAACATTCCACCAAAATGTGTGTGTGTGTTTTATTTTTATCTTTATTTTTTTGTTGTTGTTTTTCACTGTGTTGCTTCTTCTGTGTTGACAGAAAAGAACACCTTATCTACATAATTTTATTCTACATTTTGTGGTAGGTTCGTTTCCTGGCAAGGTCTTTTGGGGTACCTGGAAATCATATTGGACAGCAAAGCCATGGTTTCCGTTGGCCTTATGGTCCTGTAAGGCATTCTCTTTGTACTTACTAATTGACATTAATTTTTGATATTTTAGACCTTTGTTTGTCAATAATTCTCTTCTACTGGAAGAATGTGATTTTTGTGAGAATGTAAGGCATTCTCTGCTTCTACTGAAAGATGAGGGTAAAGGTGAGAAGTAACTGCATTCAAAGAAATTCCACCAAGTATACTTTTTTTTTTTTTTAGATAATGATTTAATAATAATGCATGTCATTACTAATTAGACAAAAAAATGTGCTTGAGAGTAGGGCTTTTCGTGTATTTTTATTTTAAGCATTTACCAAAATATATTTTGAAATAAGAAAAAATGTGCTTCTATAGAAGTAAATTGCTAATTCTTATTTTGGTTTAACAAATACTCTTATCTTGTTGTCAAGATGCTCACCACAGTAGAAGTAAAAATAATATATCATAAACCCTTAAGAAAAGAGAAAACAATCAGTCTCTAGAGCTACCTTCTAAGTGATGCTGTTGCTGCATATCAAACAAGGCATACTTTATTTCTCATGTAGGTAGTGTATACTGAGTCTCACACCAAAGCATCTTTCAAAATGGATTTCTGATCCTTATATATCATATCTCTAGTAAAGAATCTGGACTGTTTTGAACTTGATCTTTGGTATTACAGTAAATTGACTTTTAAGGCATATATTTTTATATAGTTTCAAAAAATGTGCAGGTTGCAATTATTACTCCCTTCAACTTTCCACTAGAGATTCCTGTACTTCAGTTGATGGGAGCACTCTATATGGGCAACAAGCCCATTCTTAAAGTTGACAGCAAGGTTAGCATTGTCATGGAGCAAATGATGAGATTACTTCATTATTGTGGGTTACCAGTTGACGATGTTGACTTCATAAATTCGGATGGGAAGACAATGAACAAACTGTTGATGGAGGTTTGTTCTTTGGATTTGAATTGTATTCCTTTTAATAGCCATAGTGATCATAACCAGGCATGTTTCACGGAAGTTTTTGCTGCTTCAATAATTCCACGAGTAAACTTTGGTTACTTCTAACTATATTTCATTGATTATATTTCAGTAACCACCCCATTCTTTCAGTTTCGGTTAAGTTTGTGTAATGTTTTTACTCATCTCAACTTGTAGTTGCATTTAGATTTAAATTTCAGTGGGAATAATGTTGTTGGATTTTCCTTATTACAGGCAAATCCACGAATGACCCTCTTTACAGGTAGCTCAAGAGTAGCAGAGAAATTAGTTGGCGACTTGAAGGGTCGGATAAAACTGGAAGATGCTGGATTTGACTGGAAAATTCTAGGACCTGATGTTCAAGAGGTTTCTCATGAATTATCTTTTAAATCGCATCACTGGATTTATCTTTAGAAATGTAGGCGTATGCTGAAGTATTTCTATTTGGGCTTCTAAGTCACAGGTAGATTATGTTGCATGGGTCTGTGATCAGGATGCTTATGCATGCAGTGGACAGAAGTGCTCAGCTCAATCAATATTATTCATGCATGAGGTTAGCATTTTCCATCTATGATTTTGCATATTGCTACTAAATATGTCTGATCATGACCAAGAGAATACAAATGTCTCAGTCTACTCTTGCTGCTCAAAATTGTTTCATCATTATTTCTCAATTTTTGAAGTTGTTTATTTTTTTTATTCTTAATTATCTTTTGTTTATTATAGAATTGGTCCTCAAGTTCACTCATATCCAAGTTGAAAGATCTTGCTCAGAGACGGAAGTTAGAAGATTTAACCATTGGTCCTGTCCTTACCGTAAGTATGCTTCTTTATTATTCTATTTTATTATATTTGTTTGAGGGTCCATATGCTTCCAAAATTCTTTCAGGGGTTTATATACTACTGACCTTTGAATTTAGGGGCTAATTTGCCCTTTCTGCCATTCTTACTTTTTAACAAAAATTAGCTAATAGCTAATTTAACAACTTTGAACTGACCTATCTGCATCATTAAAGATGCCTAACTCATCAACATGAAGAGAAAAGGGAAATCCAATAGCCCCAAAAGGTTAAAGATCCTGAAACTGCTATGAGAATAGATAAATTTTCATACTTTGAATTACAAATATTCTTCCTAAATGAGTAACCTTGGCATATTTCCCTATATTTTTACTTCACAATGCTTATGCTTCATAAGTAAATGTATCTCGTAGACTGCTCCCTTCAGATCATTATTCTTAATTTAAAATGGTCAAAGTCCCAATGTAATACTCTTTCCATTTATCTTTTGACAGTTTACAACTGAAGCAATGTTAGAACACAAAAACAAATTGCTTAAGATTCCAGGATCTAAGTTGCTCTTTGGAGGTGAACCTCTAAAGAACCATTCAATTCCATCTGTATATGGTGCTTTGAAGCCAACAGCCATATATGTTCCTCTTGAAGAAATTCTAAAGGAGGGAAATTATGAGCTTGTAACTAGGGAAATTTTTGGACCATTCCAGGTAAAAAAAAAAAAAAAATTGTGGATCATTGGGTTCTACCTAATTAACATTTTGTTGAGTGAAGAAGTTTATTGTCATTGATTACTGTTGCTTGTAGATTGTAACCGAATATAAAAAAGATCAGCTTCCCCTGGTGTTGGATGCTTTGGAACGGATGCATGCGCATCTAACGGCTGCAGTGGTCTCAAATGATCCTATCTTTTTGCAGGCAAGATTTAATACCCTTTCCGTGCCTAATAATTGAGCTACCATTGATATGATAAACAGTTTAAGAGGTTATACATGATTATTTAGACTCCACACATTTTTTATCAAACTTGGAATCTGCAGAATGTCATTGGAAATACGGTGAATGGAACGACTTATGCTGGACTGAGAGCAAGAACTACTGGAGCGCCACAAAATCATTGGTATGCTGTATATATTTATATATTTTTGGGAATAATATTTAATCGTTTCAGTCTCTAAAATGCAACGTTTGGAATAGGTTTGGACCAGCTGGAGATCCTAGAGGTGCAGGAATTGGGACGCCAGAAGCAATAAAGCTTGTTTGGTCATGCCATAGAGAAATCATTTACGACTTTGGTCCCTTGCCAAAAAAGTGGGAAATTCCGCCATCAACTTGAGCAGTTTTGAGTTTGACTGACCATTTCCAGAAGCTATGTACATTGGCTCAAAAAAAAAAAAAAAGGAATGTGCAACAAATGAAATCAAGGAAAATTTTACATCAACTCAAATAAAATACAATGTGCAACAAATAAAATCAAGGAAAATTTTGTTTGAACTTTTATCTACCTTTTCTAGTTATTTAAGAATCTCGTATTTTTCTATTTATTTTAATTTTTAATATATAATTTTTGAACAAGCCTCTGTTTAATGTGGTTTCGAGTTTTTATTTTAGTTTTAAATGTTTTTGCAATGGAAGAAGACCAAAATTAAAACTAAAAATTCATAATCTGTTGAAGAGAAATTTAATAACTAACAAAAACTACTAAAACTATAAATTTGTTTAATAAATGTTTGAATTGGAAAAAATGTTTATATGATGGACGTACAAAAAATAAAGTAGAAAAATATTTTAAAATTATATTATTTAAATAAACTCTACAAGATAATACTAAAATAGATTTCTTTCATTGTTTGAAAATATAATGTTTTAAGGCAAAACCTTCAAATTTACCCTAAAAAAATATTGGTAG